TGCCCTTTTGGAGCGGCGCTTCGGTGGCCATCAGGGCTGCTTCCGGCAGGGCCCCGCTGCCGGCTAACAAAGCTGGCCCTGTGCTCCTTGACTTATGGCTCCATTTACTCGACCCTTTCAAGGGAGCTGCGCCGGCGGCCCCCGCGCTGTGAATCGGTGGCGGCCGGGACAAAGCTCTTTTCTCCCCCGCCGGGCTCGGGGCAGGGGACCACGCTGCTACTGCCAAGGAGCAACCGGGGCGTCCCCAGCCGAAGCAGCTCTATTGCTCCTTCCCGGGGCTCTGCACAGCAGCGGGGTGCAGGCTGGCACGGCGGGGGGCTGCTGCCGGTGAATGATGCTCTCCCCCTTCCCCTGGGCACCGAACCCTCCTGGGCTGCAGGGCCGGCTGTTCCCCGGCTCTTCAGGGCAGTTAATTCCCATCAGAAAACCATTGGCTGCCAAGTTCCCTCCTGATAAAGGCTTGGGTGGCAGCGAGCATGGCATCCAAGACTGGTGAACCTCTCGGCTCCGCTCGCTGTTCCTGGACACCAAAAGCCACCCAGCAGAGTGCCTGCACCCGTGGAAGTGTCCTGCCAGAAGCTCGACTAAGGAAGCCCCTGGAAAGGGCTGGGCAGACCCTGGGGCTGGGCATTTGCAAGGGAGACGAGGGCTCACAGCAAGTGCTATGTGGTAGGAAGCTACACGCTGCAATGCCCAAGGGCTGGGGGTCTCGGCTGGACACCGGGGTCCTCTCCTCCAAGCCCAGGGACACGCCCCTGCCTCCCCATTGCTGTGGTGCAACGGGAAACTGAGGCAGGGAGCACTACAGAAGACCTGGTGAACCCAGCTCTCCCCTCTGCAATGTCTCGCCCTGGAAAAGGCAGCGTTACCTCTGCATTCGGCATCTGAGATGGCCGTGCACTCCTTCACCATCACCTCGTTCTCCTCGCAGGTGGTGCAGGGCAGGCAGGGGTCCACGAAGTTGGCTTCGCTGGAGAAGGTGCCCTCGGGACACTCCTCGCAGACCGTGTCCTGCGAGTCCTGGCAGGGGAACATGAGGCCGAAGCCCACCTCGCACACCCGGCACTCCCTGCAGCTCCCGCTCGGCTCGTCCTGGTCGCAGGTGGTGCAGGGCAGGCAGGGGTCCACGAAGTTGGCTTCGCTGGAGAAGGTGCCCTCGGGACACTCCTCGCAGACCGTGTCCTGCGAGTCCTGGCAGGGGAACATGAGGCCGAAGCCCACCTCGCACACCCGGCACTCCCTGCCTGAAGCCCCCTGCAGCCCCCGCCCGGCTCGTCCTGGTAGTAGCCGTAGGCACAGCGGCACACGGCATCGTCTGACTCCACGCAGGGCGCGGACATGCTCTGCAACCCCACGCACTGTGTGCAGGGCTTGCACGGCTCCGTGGCGCTCACCGTGTCCGAGTAGGTGATGCCTGGCAGGGGACAGAGGGTGAGGTGAGCTGGGTCCCAGCATGGCGTCCCCATCCCCGTGGCCACCTTGCTCCCCGGCGCTGGCTTCGTCCCATCACCAAATGGTGCCGGGCTGGGGAGATGGGCTTGTGCAGCAGCTGCTGGCTGGGACCGTCTCCCCTTTCACCATTTTCCCCCACCTCCGGGCCAGAGGTGGAGGCGTCTCCCCCTGCAGCCGCCCAACACCATCGAGCGTCCCCCAGCCTGCAGGCTCCGCTCCCCGTTAACGGCTGCACCCTTTCTGCAGCAATTCCCCAGCTCAGCAGGGATCCAGCCTTTGAGCTCCTGCAGCCTGGGCAGGGCTGGATCCCGCCCTCAACGTGCCCATCCCAGCGCTTGGTGCTCGTGTCCCTGGGCGAGCATCCTTGTCCCCAGCTGGAGCACCGTCCACATTTTCAACCTCTAGATGGTCCCCGTGGGCATCCTACAGCCATCGCTGCTCCCCAGCATCCCAAACACTTTCTCCTCTGCATCCTGCCCAGGGGGTCCCTCAGGGCATCGCCGCCCTGTGCCCCCCTCCTCGGCCGCGTGTCCCCGCTGGGCTCAGGGAGGCCGGGAGACGCGGGGCATGATGTGAACAGGAGGTTACAACACTAATTGCTGACTCTCCTCTGATCCCCAGGGCTTGCTCTCCGGTTTCATCCTGCAGGACTGACTCTGCCGGGGAAATCAATCCTCCTCGTGCAGCCAGGCAAGCCGCCCCCGTGCCCCCTCCCTCCCCCTGCAAGCTCCCAAAGGTGTTTGAAGATATTTTTAGCCCGGGAAAACGGGTCAGCTCCCGTCCTGGAGGGCACAGCTGCTGTCCCTACGTCGGCTGCCTCCCATCGATCTCCCCGGAGCCCGCGCTGCTGCAATGCCCTGTCTTCCCTCGTCCGAAACACCAGGGGAAAGTCCAGCCTCCTTGATGGAGAAGGTGTCGGGGAGATCAAGCACAATCTCTCTGCTAGCCCTGCTCCTTGGGAAGTCAATCCAGCCACGTGCTAACCTTTAATTACCTGCCTGTCTCCGAGGATGATTGTGGGAGACGGTAATTCCCACCCTCAGTGGCCTCCAGCTTCCCTGGGTGGCCAAGAGGAGACTGAGCCATGGACAGGCTCAGGGCAGAGCTGTTCTGGTGCTTAATTTTTGGCTGCTTTCAAGATAAAGGGGAATGAAAAGCCCCGAGTCCCTGGTGATGGACAGGGTTAGAGGGATGGAAGTGCCGTCCCAGCCTCAGCAGCTGCTTTCCCACCGTGGCTCAGGGCGAACCCTGAGCAGCGACAGCCATGACATTTCCACCCCCCCAACATCTCCCCCTGCCCCATGCCTGTGGGTGGGCAGGCACCCCCTGGGTGTCCTGCTCCTCTCTCGGGGCCGTCCCCATGCCCTCCCTGGAACTGCAGGACCCCAGGGACGAACCTGCTCTGCTGCTGCCGGCCCCGAGCCGCTGCCTTGGCTCTGCCCCGGGCTGGGTGAGCAGCCCCTGCCCCGCTGCCCGGCCGAGCGAGCAGAGCCGGAGCAGCACCAGGTCGGCCGCCAGCGTGCGCAGTTCCCATTAACCTGGGCTCATCCTTTGCATTATTCTGAATTATTGATAGGCACCATTAGAGCGGGGAAGTGGCCAGGAAAGGCATACGGCTGAGTGGGCACATTTTCAGTGGCAGCAAGGTATCTGAGCTGAGCAATTACAGCTGAGATTCGAACGGGGCCCCCTCCTTCCCGCCCGCAGCGATGGAGGCTGGCGAGGAGGATAAATAAATCATGAGACAGCAATCAGGGGTGGCTGGCAAGGGGGGGGGGGAGAAGGAAAATTCTAATAAAAAAGGCAAGTGGCCATCTGGGCTAATGCAGGGACCATCTCCTCTGGCCCCTCAGCCCCCGTGGGCTTTGGCAGGGGTGGTGCTTTTGTTGTAGCAAATTTTTGCAAAACAATTTGGCTGGTGAATCGGGAAGACATCCAAGGCAAGAGCTCGGAGGCAGCCCGGGGTGGAGGTGGGGATCTCGGCGGCCCAGGGCCGTGCCCGCATTCCTCCCCGCCGGCTCACGCTTGGCAGGCAGAGCGCTTTGCCGGGACCAGGGCTGCCTGCACCTGCCCAGCGCCTGCGGCAGCGGGATCCAGTGCGAGCCCAGATCCAAAAGGACCCTCTCCCCATCCCGGCAAGGGCTGACAATGGGGTTTGCAGGTCTCCTTCTCTCCCCACGCCTCTCCTCTGGCCCCTCAGCCCCCGTGGGCTTTGGCAGGGGTGGTGCTTTTGTTGTAGCAAATTTTTGCAAAACAATTTGGCTGGTGAATCGGGAAGACATCCAAGGCAAGAGCTCGGAGGCAGCCCGGGGTGGAGGTGGGGATCTCGGCGGCCGTGCGCCGTGCCCGCATTCCTCCCCGCCGGCTCACGCTTGGCAGGCTTTGCCGGGACCAGGGCTGCCTGCACCTGCCCAGCGCCTGCGGCAGCGGGCACCAGTGCGCGCGCACACCCAAAAAGACCCGTCCCCCCCA